TGCTGTGATATTACCTCGTCTCTCATGAAGTCCTCCGACTGCCATGGCTCAAAGCGCGGAGGGTTGCCCATGGCTATTTTCCACAGGCCCTGTTATCAGCGCTGCAACTTTGTGAGTCTTTTGTACGTTTCCTTCAGAGCCATACGATCACAGCTACGCACCTAAGTAAAAGTAGAGAGCAAATTGTGAATAAGCAACAGCCACAGACACGTTATCTGTCAGCAGTCATAGTCTCACAGATGCCTTAGTCCCTCTGAAAACAGCCCTTGGCCTCCTAACTCATACAAGCACATTAGAAAAATCTTCTCCCTGTCTTTATTTCCTCTCCTGGCCGTCCCCCTTGGCTCATGGTGTAATTTTGGAGTGTATTTCTAAAACGTTTCTGCTGGTCTGAGATATTTATGAGTCCTGCCAGTAGCCAGAGATCTCCCTCCAAAGAGATTATTTTGCCCCATGCAGGTCTCCATGCCTTCCCGCTCCGTTTCCCTTCTGCCCGGACACTAGCGAGCCTGGTGGGGCATGGGCTTGTCCCAGGTAGTTGATGCCCCAGGTTGGGTTTTGTGGGCACAACCACCGCACCTTTGGTCATCAAATATCTTTCTCTTACACTCTTCAGCAGCTCCAAATCAGAAAATCAGGCCCAGCAATGACATCAGCGCTGAGAAGAATTTCAGGAACAGGGCTGTGAGTTTGGTGGTGTTTGTCAGCGTCACCTTTTCCGGCTTTTCGGTACGGCTGCTCCAAACCCGTGCCCTGAGGCTGCTGTGCGGGGCGAGGGCAGAGCAGGGCCAGGCGGAAAATCCCTTCTGCTTTTGGATGCAGCACATGCTTTTGACTCCTGACATTGCCAAATACATCTGGTAATATTTTTCTTTCAAGTCCTACGTTCACTGTACCTTGCCATTTCGTTCCCGTAATGATCTTCTGTTTAATGACAGCCGCTTTCCCAAATTAAATCACTGTAATATGTTGGACTTGGCTCTTTTTCTAGCAGCAAGTGGCCCCTCTCTTCATGCTGGGGAGACCAGGCAGAGGCTGCTGCGGTGACCCGACTCACCAACCAGCCGTCTGACCAAAGCATGCATGTTACGCTGCTAAAACCGGCGTTAAAAATAGCCGGTTTCATAAGTATCTATTGGGAAATCTCCCTGCACGGAGCAGCTTCTATTGTTTAAGGTCCTTTATCCAGCTAAGGTTTGGGGCTTGCCTCTAAGCTAGTACGATATGCCATATGAAGCCGAGCCATTTCTGCTTCAAGCCCTTTCGATTTTTTGGAAGGCTCCCGGCTGCGTCCTCTGATCCAGGATTTCTTGGCGTAGCGTTGTTAATGCACCTGCGAAAGATATATTTATCCATCTGGCTCGGTGACATGTAAACAGTGCATGTTACGTCATGGCTGCAGAAAACTCTCAAGAGCAGCAGAAGCAGGGAGGAAAACAGGACTACTGTCAGCTAAAAGGGGCGATCTGGGTAGCGCTGAGTGCGTGTTGGATGTGCGAAGAGATTAGAGGTGATCTGCAAAGAACCAAAAAGCATTTCCCAGTGCTCTTTCTGCCACCTTCTATTACAGGTGTCCTCAGCCTAAAGTAAGAAGGAAAATCGAGCTTTCTTGCGGCATTGGCAGGTTAGAGGTAAGAGAAAAAATTGCAGCATTTTCACACATTTTCCTGAACTGCAAAGGACTCCTTGCTGTTGTCTCTCTCTTTAAAATCAAATACATATCTGAGTTTTTCCCCAGCTCCCCCTATTAACGGCTGAGATTTGCTCCCTCTCAGCCACCTGAGTCCTGCTCTGTGTCCTTCTGGCTCAGCCCCAAGCTGGCAGAGGAAGAAGAAAAAGTGACTTTAAATGAGTCAGTCCCTTGCTCCCCCAGCCCAAACACTCTGTGACGATGGCTGCACGACCTGGAAATCTGTCCTGGATCCAGCAGGATGGATCTAACTTAGTCAACCTGCTCCTACAACGTACAGGAGTCAAACCGGAGCCAGCCTTGGCAGTGGGGTGGGAGCAGCATTTCCCCTGGAGGATCTGCTCTTGAGTGCTTTCTCCTCTGCGTTTGGGATTAACATGTTTCTGTCAACAAGAGGCACATGTGTCTCTTTTTCCAGTTTTGAATAGCCGTATAAACTCAATGCTGGAGGCCAATTCAAACAAAACCCCATCCCTCATTTGCATCCCCGCGGGGCCCTCTTAGTGAACATAGCGGAGCAGAGATGCAGGACGAGCGCGCGGCTGCCAAGTAAACGTCTGTTTTGTTCCCGATCTCTTTGCCGTGCTCCGGGGCAATGCAAAGACTGGTGCAACTTGCTGGAGCCTTTGGGCGGGTGAATCCAATGCACTTCTGCAGTCAGGCACATTTGGTACTTTATGACTGTAAAAAAATATGCTGCGACTCTTCTTTGCTCTCAGACTCAGCCTTTTTGGTGAGAAAGCTGCTTGGTGTCTTTGGGGAGCACCACGCGCCTATAGCACCCCCATAACCAGCAGATCTGGGGTCATGCAGCCTGACTTACCTCCTGCTCCCTGGATGTTTTAACCTTGCAATTACCCTGGCCAGAAATTGAAAGCATCATATGACACTTTCCTGAAGCGGGGATGGCTAATCTCAGAAAAACACTCAGGTTTTCAGAGCTAGTGAATCTCTCACACCGAGTCTCTTTATCCTGAAACGTGGTGGTCATGGTGGTGGGAACAGAAAATGAAAAGCCAAATAAATGCAAGCTCTGAACGGAGCCTCCCTTCCAAGCGCCTCATGGAAAGCAGAAGTGAGAAGTCAGCACGTTTGGATGGCGCCGTTTCATTCACTGCCATTCACTTAAAACGGGGTTTTTTTTAGGGAGAATTGGGCTGCCTGGAATTTGTAACTTTTTTTGCAGGCCCTTTGAAGCTTCTTGGCACCTGCTGTGCTATTTGCGCTTCGGGCCAGCGGCGGGAAATCCGAATGAGGTGCAGAAGAAAATGTTGACCTTTTCTATGCTGATTGCCCATGGATATGGGTCTTTTGTCCTAGCAAAACCGAATGTCACCGTTGCTGTTTGAAGGGAAATGTTGATCAATGGGTTGTGTTAGATCTTGCCTAAAAGTTTCTTAACTACATTTTAGGGTGGAGGCAGCACTTGTTTGGGATTTTTTTAAAAGAAATTTATTTATCTTTACAAAGCCTTATGTCAGCAACTTTTATTCCCCTTTGTGCTTGACATTTAATAGGTTTTTGTTTTGAATGGCGAAAGAGACAACCTAGCATTTAAATAAGGCAGCAGAGGAAGAGAGGGAATGATTTAGCCAAAAGCAATAAAATCAGCAAAACCACAATAAAATGTCAGCTGATCACCTCTTAGAAAAAACGTTGCTATTTTTTTCGCTCTTTTTTAAGAGTGTTGTGATTTAGCAGAGCTCCCAGGCAGCAAATGAGAAGCTGCGATATGGCTGCTTAGCTTCCAGCAATGTGTTATTGGTTATTCAGGGACAAAATGGGATAGGAAATATGAGCTTGTCATTTTCCATGGCTTCATAAAATTATAGAGACGCTATCTGCGTGCCGAGCCTCGTTGCCTAGACAATTATGGCAAGATATACTCATAATGCTCTATTACAGACATGAACACTACTATCATGAAGCAGCCAATTAGCAGGGAGGCGCCCCTTTCTCTGAGTTTTTTTGATTGTCAGGGTTCTCATTTCTGTTTCCTTTTCCCTCCTGTTTCGTGATGAAAGGCCTCATTTTGGAATATCAATGAGCTGTTTTGAAAGTCCTAATATTTTTGTGTAATTAGCTGCCTCCACCTCATGAAAGCATTGCATTTCAAAGTCGCTGTGACCATTAGCTGTTAAACATATCTTCTTTCTGTGCAAAAAAGAAAAAAAAGAAAAAAAAAGCGGAGCACCGACGTGGCATTTTTCCGAGTATTATTTTTCTGAGCTGGCATCTGCCGGATGACTTTGATATTGCGTATTTCTTTTCCGAGTTGTACTTCCAAAGCCAAGAGCAACGAAAATCGCTTCTGCTGGGCGTGCTACCCTTTGGCAGCATGCTGCCCTTTTCCTCTCCTCCAGTCCGTCATTCCCAGTCCCTCCCTGTTTGCAGCGTTGATATCCCCTGCCTGGCCATGGTAATACTGGGCATGCAGCCTTTCCAACCAACTATGTCGGGAGGGAGCCCATTGGGAAATAAAACAGAAAGGCAAGGACTTTTGTTTCAGAGCAAGAGGGAAAAGCCGACTCAAAGGCAAGACAGTGCTTTAAGGTTCCTGGGCAAAGGCTTTCCGTTATATCCAGTGGGCTCTGGCTAAGCCTTCAGCTATTTTGGTCACTCTCAACCCTGGCAATGGTTGGAAGGGAGTGTGAGAGCGGCTGTTTGCCACCAACACCCGCGGCTGTTTTTCTAGGAAGCGGTGGCCGTCCTTTGGACTTGTCCAGAGCAAGGCTGAAGCCTCCAGGATAAACAGCAGATTTGCAGCTGGGAAGAAGCTGAGCACGATACAGCTGCAGGGTCCCAAACCCAATCTGCATGTAGGAGTGGGACCACATGGGCTGGAGGCGGGTGCTGTGGGCAGTTTTTTGGGTTGGAACTGGGCTGTATGTAGTGGCAGGGATTTACCATGGACGAGCTGAGAAAAGGGCTACTTAGCAGAGTTTCCCGAAATCCCCTTTCTCTGCTGCCTTGTGGGGAGGTCAGGTTGTAATTTGAGATGTTGAAATGCGGTGGTAGCACAAAGCAGGTGTTTTCTTGCCTGTGTCTTATCTCCTTCCTCATTCACTGTTCCCACTGAAGTCCCTGTGGGTTTTGCTGCAAGCGCGCAGAAAGAGGACCTTTCCCAGGGCCAGTCTCAGCCCCGCACGGCCTATGACTTCAATCCAAGCAGGAACTTTTTCGTTTGGTTTAAAAAAAAAAAAGAAAAAAAGCGTTTACCCGGTTCCCATCCTTCATTTTCCTTTTTAGTCCCTGAAGGGTAGTCCAAGCCTGTGGTTTTCAATAGCAAAGGCACTTTCCGATGAGAAAAAATTTGTGCGTTTCGATGGGTGTAGCTGTCTGCTTCTGGGGAAGCATGAGTGACTGTCAGCCGTGGGAAAATACCCTTTTCCCTTCTTTCTGGCAAGGGAATGACATGGCTGGATAACTTGGTCGGTGTTCTCAAGACAAGGGGCAGTCATTGCAGCTGTGTCTTCCTGCCTGTGGAGGGTGGTGGGAGCTACGAGGAGAAAAATGAAGGTAAGAAACAGATTGTCTTGTTGTTGCCTAGCAGGTGGGGGGATTGCCTTGGTGGTTGTCCCTTTGGGTTTTGGTGGAGGACTTTCTGAAAAGGTGATAAGGTGGTGTGGGCAATGGGCATAAGGACATGGGCTCTGAGTGAGAATTGCGCCGTGATGGACAGTGATGCCCTGAGCCTGGCGCATGGGGCTCCATGAGAGGACAGCATCTCGTATCCGCTACGGCTGACTATTACGCGCCGGCATATTGCGACAAAGGGCTTCTCTTCTTTACCTCCGTCTCTCTCCAGCTGAACTGTGTGGAGAGAGCACAGAAACTCCGCTGCACTGGAGAGAAACTGTGACAATCTTTTCCCCCAAAGATGCGTGTTGTCCTCACGCAGCAAGCTCAGAAGAGACCCTGCCAAAATCTTCTGCTCTCCAAACGGGTTATCCCTGCTCCAGATTGACACTGGTTACACTTCCAAAACATCTGTTGCCGCCACAGGGTGAAACCACATGTGGAATAAAGCAAATCAGTCTTATTTGCTGCAGATGAGGATATTTCAATCAACTGCTTGGAAGTTTCTTGTAAAATAATGACAATCATTTCATAGGATTTAGATATCCAGGCATCAGAGCAAATAAACTGTCTCATCTTTCAAAAAAGATAGGTATAGATACAGATATGTAGATAATGCCCCCCCCCACATTCCTTGTAATCCCAGGAATTTTGCAAACATCATACAGATCCTATTTTCTCCTAATATAGAAAACCAAAGCTCTCGTAGTTAACATTTTAAATCATGAAGGGGAAAAGCTAACCAAAACTACAGGATGTTTTAAACAGCTGTATTTCAAACAAATCCTTTCGTGTCGTGCACGGCTCAGCTCAGAGGAAGCCCAGCTGAGGAACCGAGCGCTGAGCCGGGTGGCTGAGCTGGGTCAGCTCGTGCCGCGTGTACCGTTATCTCTTGCATGACACGAGGCAATAAAGATGCTTTCCTGTTGAAGCTGATTTCTCAGCAGCGTCTGGCTCTTTGACTCTGCTCTGGAGTTATGATATTAATAAACCAGCTTTGTATTGGTTGTGAGAGGGATTCTGGCGTTTAAAGTTCGGTTCCAAGAAATGAGAAGGCTGCGTTAAATCGGAACACAAATAGGAAATAGAAAAACCCTTGTGGACGGCTTGCTACCAAAAGCTGTTTTCTTTACTTTTTTTTTTTTTTCCTGTGTGTTACAAATTGCTTCAGCACGAAGGTAACTTGGACGAAGGAAAACAAGTTCAGCGTCACTGCAGTGACAGCAGTTTCAGCAACTTCCTTTGCTTTTCTCGTTGCTCAGCAGCCCCGGCGCTTGCGCTGCTTTTGCCCGCGTCTGAGCAAGCCTGGACACGTTGGCTTGCTACCCTTGCTACCCTTTTCACCTTGCCCCAATCCTTTCTGAATAGCCCTAATATTCGGGGGTTTAGGATGGGAGTTTGGAAGTCAGCAAGGGAGTGATACCGAGATCAGGTAGCAGCTTTCGGAGCAGCCCTTCTCCCGGGAATTCCTGGGGACGGAAAGGGCCGGATTCGTAGCTGGAGGCTTGCTAAAACCTTGGCTCCCGCCTCCTGCTCCAAAACCTGGGAAAAGCTGGCTAAATCCTCTGCTCTGGTTTTAGTCCAGAATCGTAGCATTTGGCTCCAAGTGGGTCCAGGGTTGCCTGCACTAACAAGTGGCACCACATACAAGAAGTCCTTGTTTTTGTCCTCTAGAAAAGTATTTACATTAAAAACCTTCCTCTTCAAAACTCTGATCTCCTCTCTGCCCTTAAGGCTGCAAAATTTTGAGGGGAATTTTTTTTAGACCCTTTACTTAGCCTGCTGGTCTCCCACTCTGACTTGCCCCTGCTCAGCAGCTGCTGAGATCTTCAGCTCTGAGCCGGCTGGAGGCTCTTGGGGCGCTTCCTAGCGTGTAGCCACCGTCAGCTCTGAGTGCGGGCTTTTCCTCGAGTCTTTGAGCAGGGATTCAAGGATGAGCGTAGCGATGGACAAAGTTTTTCTACCTAAACTTTTTCACCAGAAATGTAGGGCTTTTGGAAAGCCATGTGAGATCCATTGGGCTGAAGAACAGAGGAAGGTAGGACGCTGGCGGGTAACAGCTGCGACGCTGCGTTCTTGCGTTGGGCGATAAAACGGTTGGCATTTTCATTTCAGCCACGACCTGTGGATCCCAGTACAAGTGCAAATAGCATTCTCCGCTCCGGGTTGGAAGGCAGGGTCCCAGCCACCCCTTCTTTAGCTGGGCTCTTTGGGTCACCTAGGATTGCCTGCAATCTGTTTGCTGGTATCATTTAAAAGTCGAAAGCCAAGAAAGTGTCCTTTCTCTAGAGGGGGTGGCACAGAGCTTTTTTTGCATCCCGTTGCAAAGGTGTTTGTGACCGCTGTGGTGATAAGCCCACACTTTGAGTCCTCCGTATGAGTTCACCTGATGACTAAACAGAAAGCAGCAACTTAACACAAAATCCCCGAGAAAACCACTGCGTCCCAGGGAAGTGACAGCTACAGTGAAGTGCCCCAATTTGGCTGAAATTCTTGCATGAGCTCGACACATCCTGGCATTTTGTGGCCTGCCACATTTGACTGAGTGAAGTTGAGGGACGGGCTCAAACCTATTAATCAATGAAAGCCATCACTGACTCACTGCCTGCAGGGTGGATACGGGGGTGAATCGAGCCATCCGCCCCTGCAGGAGCAGCATCCGTGCCGCGACTGTTGCATCCCCTCGAGCTCCTCATCCTGCCCATCGAGGGGGCCATTGCATCCCCTCGAGCTCCTCATCCTGCCCATCGAGGGGGCCATTGCATCCCCTCGAGCTCCTCATCCTGCCCATCGAGGGGGCCATTGCATCCCCTCGAGCTCCTCATCCTGCCCATCGAGGGGGCCATTGCATCCCCTCGAGCTCCTCATCCTGCCCATCGAGGGGGCCATTGCATCCCCTCGAGCTCCTCATCCTGCCCATCGAGGGGGCCATTGCATCCCCTCGAGCTCCTCATCCTGCCCATCGAGGGGGCCATTGCATCCCCTCGAGCTCCTCATCCTGCCCATCGAGGGGGCCATTGCATCCCCTCGAGCTCCTCATCCTGCCCATCGAGGGGGCCATTGCATCCCCTCGAGCTCCTCATCCTGCCCATCGAGGGGGCCATTGCATCCCCTCGAGCTCCTCATCCTGCCCATCGAGGGGGCCATTGCATCCCCTCGAGCTCCTCATCCTGCCCATCGAGGGGGCCATTGCATCCCCTCGAGCTCCTCATCCTGCCCATCGAGGGGGCCATTGCATCCCCTCGAGCTCCTCATCCTGCCCATCGAGGGGGCCATTGCATCCCCTCGAGCTCCTCATCCTGCCCATCGAGGGGGCCATTGCATCCCCTCGAGCTCCTCATCCTGCCCATCGAGGGGGCCATTGCATCCCCTCGAGCTCCTCATCCTGCCCATCGAGGGGGCCATTGCATCCCCTCGAGCTCCTCATCCTGCCCATCGAGGGGGCCATTGCATCCCCTCGAGCTCCTCATCCTGCCCATCGAGGGGGCCATTGCATCCCCTCGAGCTCCTCATCCTGCCCATGAAAGGGCCGAGGGGCTGTCCCTGGTAGGGGATCAGGACCTGGGGCTGGTGCCTGGCTCAGGGGGAGACCCTCTTGGGACCCTCACACCCATTTTCCAATTTCTTTTCAATTTTCAGCCCACGCAAGTGCAGCGAAAAGCGCATTTTAGGATAGAAATTTTGAATTCGAAAGGGCTGCAATTTGCCTTCCTTCACGGGCTTTTTATCTGATCTAAGGCAATATTCTGTTATTTTTTCGTTACTCAGCTATAGACAGAGAGCGGCTATTTTCAGGTTTGCCCTGTTACTTTCGCTCTGAAGCGTAATCGTGAGTTTGTTAATGAGTGTTTCCACTTTAACAGTCCTCTATTTTCTTTCCTCTACTAATTTCTTTGAGTACATATGAAGCATCTGTAGTCAAACCAGCCCTACCGAATTAAGATATTGGCAGGGGCACGCACTCCTTTAACCCTTACATGACTCACGATCGTTTTTGAACCCGAGGGAAGCACGGCGTAGTTTTGTTTTGTTTCTCTCTGCCTCCCAATTATTTCTGCGTTAATATCTGTATCCTCTCCTTAATATTTAAGCATTAACGTAGTTCAGGTAGAAATTGTAGCGGTTTCAATGGCGGCACCTCCTGAAAGAAGCTGATCTGAAACCCACGTAATTAAATGCATGTGGAGTGGGAAGCACCAAAAATCAAGGGACCTAATTAATCAGTGCTTTCCTTGGGGACGCACGGCTTGTCCACGGTGACTGAAGATCCATGTCGTTTCATATCTTATCTCTGACAGTGGCTCCTGCTGTCTGCACCGAGGGAGACGCAAAAGACCAGTAGTAAGTAGGTGCAGACTACCTAAAGGGAAAGTTTCTTCCTAGTCGTGGTAACCTAAGGCTGATTTACATCTTGCAGCACGAACCTGCACCAGCGTAAAAATTAAGGCAGACCGCCAAACCATTCATTTTAAGGCATTTTCGTTGCCCTGTGAGCTGTATCAGTCTGAAGTCACACAGCATGCATCTGGAGAGCAGCTGGCTTGTGCGGTTTTAACTTTATTAAGCTGAAGTGAGTGACCGCTTTTCACTAAGGTAACAAACTTTCCAGGGCGAGAGAGCACAGGGAGGAAAGCGAGTTAAAAATTCACGCACAGAGTTCTGCTCTGTTATTTCATCTGACATTTTCGTTATCATTAAGAAGGACTTTTTCCTTTGTAGGTGGTTCCCTGGCCTTGCACTGCCACAGAAGAAGCAGAAGAGGCTTTGCAAAGAGCATAAGAAAACTATTCCCGCCCGGGGTGTTATTAGAGGCTATTCTTCCTGGAAGAGCTGAAGTTGCGATACCAACACCCTGAGAGCTTGACCAGTCATACTCAGAAATATGAAGAGAATGTAACTAGAGGAAGTAGTGGTTGGTGAGTCAGCATGAGTAATTTTGTTCCAATGAGAATGAAGACTGAGGGCTTTTTTTCTTTCCCTCTTAAACATTTTGGACATCATTGCTTAATGGAGGGAAATAAGTGATATTATGCCCGGGTAGCCAGCACTTCTTGAGTTTTTTAACCCCACTCCTAAAAAAAAAAAAAAAAAAAAACGCCTAGATGCGTTTTATCTCATCTTCCTAGGAAGCTGGGGGGAAGGAGCTGCGACTCGCTGGTGAGTACGTTTCTGCGCTCTTCACCGGCGAGCAGTTTGGCAGCGTGCGTGGCAGGACTCGAGCTCAGCGTGGCTGTTCCCCGCTGGGACATCGGAGGCAGTGTTAGCTTGCTGGCAGCATGGGCTCCCTTGGCTTGGTGCTTGCTCCTCCACCAGCTCCCGGCAGCGTCTCCTTGGGCTGTGAGGTCTGGGGAGCGTAGCCGACCTCCTAACGCCCCGGGTCCGAGCGCGGGGCGGACTTGCCGGCTGCAGGGAGAACGCCTGGCACTGCTAAAACAGTAAAGGAAACTGAGCCAGAGGTCCTTACCTTCAGAAGCAGAGCTGGGTTTGATGTGGGTTGTTGCACAAGCCAAGGGAGAGGCTGAAGCGTGCTGCTGCGTGCTGTCCTGTGAGCAGCTTCTCTTGCTGCTGGGCCACTTGCTTTAGGAAGAGGTTGCTTTGAAAGGAATCAGAAAGGCAGGCAGGGCATTTTAGCTGCGGCTACCCTGGTCCGGCAGGGCCGGGCTCCCCAGCCTGCTGGCATCAGTGCGCAGAGCCCCCTGCGAGCTCTGCATCTCATCAGATCTGACTGCTATGTTTTGTCATTTGCTCAAAGTCTAAAACCATCATCTTTACCTTTACTATACCGTAATCTGCAACACTGTACGTGTGCGGGCAGAGGGGAGCGAGAGCAAGCAGGCAGCGCTGCTGCGCACAGAGACGGGTTTTTGAGGCTGAGTTGCGTTTGCTCTGCTAGTAACTCACATGCTTGGGGCCCTTTAAGTGCAATGGTGATATTTCTCTTCTGTTGGAAACTTTGTTTTTCAAGCCAATCTAGTTACAGTAAATGAAACTGGGTCTACAGTATTACAGGGTCATGTGACAAACATTTTTGGTAACTTGGCTCTTGCTAGAAAAAAAAAAAAAGAAAGAAAAGCCCCACAGAGCTATGGCATCAAAGGGAGGTGTTGCAGTCTCTCTGGGCATACTCAGTCAAGTGCGTGGGTCAGGTGGATAAAAATGAGTCAGCACCCTCATCTGAAATGGCTCTTTCTGAAGAAGAGGTTAAACGTGCCTTCAGCAAGCAGAATTGCTGTCACACGTGCCTTTGGAAGAGATCAGCTACTCGAGCTGAGAGCGGGGAGACGGCCCGAGTCTCTGCTTTAGCGCTTGCCAGGGGACTCTGGGGTTTTTTCCCTTGGTGCACAGTGGTTCAGAGAGGACATGCACGGATGTTGAGCCCTGCTGTGATTTTTTTTCCCTTTGCGCCTCGTGCGGGACCTTTCCCATTCTCTCTTTCCTGATGCGCTGGGGGTTGCACGACGGCTTTTGCCAGTCAGAGCACAGAGCATAGGGCTTTCAGGGCTTGGGTTGCAATCCTAGAGTATAGACAGGGCAAAGTGTGGTCTGTCCCAAGCCAGGATCAGATGTCAGGCCTTGCTTGTTCCCCACAGATTTGCAAGATTGCAGTTTGTTGAATTTTATCCCAATCCATCACCTTCCTGGGCCTCCTTTAGGGACCCCACCGTGCCTCTGTAGCCTCAACTTCTCTTTGACATTTCAGTGGTCTTTTATGTGCAAAGTATCTGCCGTAAAGTGAGGGACTTCAGGTTTATGCTGTGTATCTCCGAGGATGCTCTTTGGGACCCAGAGCACAAAGGTGTGTGGAGATGCTAGAGGGAGCGAAAACTCCAGGGAGGACGGTGTAGGGCCCAGGCTGGTGCTGTGCTCCAGGACAGAACAGCTTGGATGGAAACCCCATCCCCAAGCCAAGGGGGTGAGTGAGCCCACGAAAGGCTGGGATTTACAGAGGGCTCAGCAGGCCCCCTAGTCCCAGCCCAGGAGCATGCTGGAGGAGGCTGCTCCCTTCTGCACTGCAAGCAGAGGATGGAGAGGTTTCTCTGGGCAGCACTCCCAGTTATGGCAGAGTTGCCTCTGACACGCAATTCTGCTTTTTAAGAACCTTTTTATCCTACTCGTGCTTTTGACACTAAGCTTTGGAAACTCAGCAGCAAGAAATCAGCTGTGCACTCGCTCAGCACAGCAGGGACAGTTAGCCCAACTATGCAATGCATGGGGCGGTTTTCACTTTTGCTTTTCGCAGACAGAAGCATTGCAAATATTTCTCCACAGAGCATCACTTTGTAATAAATGAGCCATCTTGCCTGGGCTTCAGGACGCAGCTCTCCTACCTGCCCGTTGCGCTGAACGTAGCGAGCTAGGGAAACTGCATCCCTTTGCTGCAGCTCTTGAGACTGAACTCCCCCCCCCGACTCCTTGTCGTGCAAATACCTCAGCTTTCTTCTCCTTATGAAAAAGCAGTCTGGGACTGGAGTCTCCAACTTTGCATTAAGCAGCTTTGCAGGAATAGATCTGCGCTCGGCAGGTGCGGAATAGGGTTTGCTGGGAAGCGGGTGAACCTTGGGGCAGCAGAGGGTGTGTGCAAGGAGTGAGCGTCATTCCCATGAGCATTGGGAGCCTGAGGGAAAACCAGCTGAAAAGCCCTGTGGGAATTGCAACCCAAGCAGGCGGTGAAGTGCTCTGGCAGTGGGAAGCGCCTTGTGTCCCAAGGACAGCCCCAGGCCTGGCTCCCGGGAGCGTCTCGCACCCGCTTCCGTGTGCCCTCCCCGCACGTAGAGGAGCTCACCAGCCCCCGACCAGGCTTAACCAGGGCAATATATGTTGCTCCTCTTTCCAGCTTGGAAGGGCTGGGGCCGCCCGAGCTGAAAGTTTCTTGGCGAGATAAATGCCCCGTGCATCAAATTTCTGTCCAGACAAAACTGTCAAAATTACAAGTAGCTGGAAAGAGCCGCAAGAAATGACAGGTCATTTGGCCGTAACCTCCCGGTGGGCATCCCAGCCCGCAGGGCTTTCCGTGTCCCAGCTACGCCGTCCTGGCTTCCAGCGAGCAGTACAACGGGGGTGCTGGCCGGTGCCTACCCAGGGCTTTGCATCCACTACGGCACATTTCCCAGCAGAGCTTTTCCTGTGGTCGGAAGCGATGCAGAGGGATGGCGAAATGGAAAAGGCATCCCGCTTCCCTGCCCCTCCCCGAACCGGCTGGCCAGTTCGGTCCCTCCCTGGGTTGCGCCTTTCTTCAAAGGGTGTTTTCCTCACCCTCCTGCCTTTGCAGCATTGTGCTGGGCTGCAAATCTGGCATTTTTAGGCCAGATTGGTCGTGACATTTCATTTTCTGTGACGTTTCTGAAATTACTCAAGGGGAGCGCCGCAAGAGCGGCAGTGCGCTCTCGAAGGCTATTAAAGTATCGTGTGTCCTGATGTGTGTGTGGCAGAAGAAGGAAAGAAATCATTTTACCTGAGGTATTTGTTAATCACAGCATCCTTAAATGAACCGCAAAACCCACTTTTAAGCCTGTGTGAGCAGCTGCATAATGCTGACAAAAGAGATTAATAATGTCTCTAGGACAAAAGCAGTTTTAACAGAATTCTGCTTTCTATTTTTAAATCCGATTTGCTACGGGATAGAGAGGGATTACAGTTAATAGCAGTTAAGGTAAAATAACATTTCGCAAATCCAGGTTAGGAGCCGCAGGTGAAATTCTCTGCATGTGATTCATATCGGAGCTGCAGAACAACGCCAAGGTCGAGGGGACGAGTTTCGGTCTGAAAACGCTGCATGTCAGGGTCTCCAAATAGAAAATTTCTCAGAATTTTTGACTCCTTGGACATTAAGAAACTGTGCTCTGAATTGCACCAAAGCTGACTATTTTTAAAAATATCCCGCTTTCCCAGTAGCCAAAACATCCAGTTTTCAGCCGCCTTAGTTTAAGCAAAATCACTTTGAACGCGGTACGTGGGTAGCGTGAACGCAGTATGCGGCCTCGGTCACCGTGCCAGCCCGAACACGTCTGTCGGCTGCTTCGCCCTTTGGCCAGAGCGCCTGCTTTCCCTGCGGCGCGTTAGATAGGTTTGTCGGAGGGACGCCTGGATGTGAGGACGCGGAGGCCTGAACGCGAGCTGCTGAGCAGAGTACGTCGGGGTGCGTTTAGGCACGTGCACCTTGAGGCTGTTGCTGATGATCCGCGCAACGCCAGAGAGGCAGGCCAGGATTTTGGTCAGGACACAAGGACCTGCAGGTCCGCTCTGGACGCGACGCCTGGAGGGTGCCAACAAAATCACCAGAAGAGGTGCAGGGGGCTTAAAAAATAAGGGGATCTGGGCTTAGGGGCCTTTAGGACCTCTACTAAAAACTTGAAAGGGCCTGTGGAGGTTTCCCCCGGTATGCTAAAGAGGATAACAGCAGGGTAGCAGCTGTGCAGGCTACATGGGCAGGAGCTGCACGTAGCTATCTGCAAGGACGAAGAGTTGTCCTCTTCTGAGCCTGTCCCTCAGCGACTGGACTGAGCCCAGTGATTGCAGACAGAAAAAAAAAACCCAGTAGTTATATCAGAGATTCAGAAAACAGGAACTGTTTCTTCATGAGAATTTAAAGTGAAATTAATTTAAAGAACTGAGACAAGTTGAAATATTAAAATGAGAAAGGGGATTGAGTTTTGAAATGAAAAAAATTTGGTAGCCTCCAGCCAGGCAGTCATGGCGGCTGGCAGGTGACAGCAACTAGCCCGGCGTGTGGTGTGGATTTCTCATAAGCCAGTATCACTTACAGTCAGGGGCTTTATTTCACTATCTTAAAATAAATCTTTCCTTTAGTAGTTTTTTTTTTTTTGATGAAAGAGAAGCAGAGGTGAGCCAGAACTCAAGCCTCCAATTGAGACAAAATTATCTTCCCAAGCTGAGCAAGTAATAGGACTTGAGGGAG